GTCACGCATGTTTGCACAATGACAATTTACAACCGTTTACTATAACTCCAACATTTTGGATAAGTTTTTTAGGATGAAATGCTGAATTTTACATAAAGCTTGCATTTGTTGAAATCTAGTAAATCAAAACGAGTTCCCAGTTTTTTATCGGTATTCAGCTTCTTTATTCAGTATGGTTCAAAATATACTCCCTTTATTTAGAGTTCCAAAAATGTACTTTTAAAATTTGCTGCAGCGCATATACTGAAGTTATTTAATGGAGAGTGGCTACAGTATCATCAAATTCGGATCCTCAGGGTCAATTACCAAGGTAAACACCTTTTTCTTATACTGCTACGTCAATTTACCGATCTGAAATTTTACCAGGGGGACTCTATCTCCCAACTTCCGAGGACAGTACTTCGGGCAAATGCGTAGCGATTTTAGACTTTTTGTCATCGATTAAGGATATAATTCTCAGTTCTTCCTAAATTTCATAGAATTGTGACGGGGATCCCGCTTTTACAGATCAGAATCCCCTATGGTAACCGGTAATGGTAATTCGGGAGGGGGACGGAGCCTGGGGGTGATGAAATTCGGATTCCTTGGAGTCTTTTCACTAGTAAACCCCACGGTTCTCGACTTCGTTCGACCTATAGTAACCGAGAAAAAAGCTTGGCACGGATGATCTGGAACACCCTGGTACTTAAAATTCCAATGAAACAATCATAATTAGTGAGACTGCAATGTTTATCCTGTTTCATGGTCCATTTCTGCATTGTGCGCAGTTTGTCGCATGCCGTCTATGGTGATTAAGAATGAAGTGGCAACATCTGCACCCCTATCATTCTGACTCTCCAAGTTCTGTCCAAGTTCAGTAATTGAATCGGTCAATGAATAAACCTAACAAGTCTTTCAGAGGTATGTTGTGATATGGAATCATTCGATTGATCTGCTATTTAAACCTAGAGAGAATGATCGATTATCAGGGTGATATTATCATGACCGATTATTCGATTCTTCACTGTAGCTTCAAAAGCGGGAAAATATCGATAGTTCATGATTCACGCTTTGCTACTGAAGTTTACCCGGCTAGCTCTGAGCTCCATACAAATGTCTCCGTACTATAGGATACATCAGATAATGGACAGCCTCTCTCAAATACGAATACCCGTATTATCTCTCATCAATAGGAATTCCACGTTGTTATAACTGAAGAAGGGCTTATATTCTCTCCTCTCCCTTTAATTTTCAATTATATCATGCCACATTTTATAGTTAAAATAAGAAACTACGGAAAACAAGATCCAGATAGAATTTGACAGCGAGAACCATGTTTTTTGACAAATGAGCGGTTTCTTTTGTTAGTTGCTTGGAATAACTCCACAGAACAATACAAATGGTTCCTTTATGTATAATCGAGTTATCACCAAGAAAAAAAGAGGAAAAATCTAAAAGAAAAAGAAACCAAAGAAGAAACCAAATCTAAAACCTGAGAGAAAACAAGTTGTGCACTCATTTCCTTTTTCTAAGTTGATTTGATTCCCTTTCGCATTCAGAAGATAGGTGCCAAGTTAATGATTAAAATATTAATTTTTCCAGCAAATTTGATTGGTCTTGGTCACCAACGCACTCCTCCAGTTAATTAAAATTGAAATTTGGAACTTTTACAACATTTTTACAGGAAATAAAAAAAATTATGAAACAAGCAGACTTCTTGCTTTTCCTAGGGTATTTAGTTCCCATCGCTGAACTCGATACATTTTTATGAGCCATTATATGACATAAATACGATTACCATATCGAGTTCATGTTCAGCTCACTCTGTAAATTTTATGAGCAACATAACTTAAGTACGATTAGGATAAAGATTTCATGTTGAGTTTTCAAGCACTAGGAGGACGCCATGCTTTGCTGGGAAATTGCGTCATGCACTGAAGAAAGGAGACAGTTTAACTGTGTCTCAAATGAGTGACAGAAGGAAAAGAGCGGTATGGCACCGGCGGCGGTCGCACAATAATCGCCAGTTTAAGGGACATTTTTGGATGCGGTTACGGTAAGTAAATCGGCAAACAATTTTTTGGTTTCTTGGTGTTATTAAAGGGGATTTTTAGCAGAATTTTACGTGATTTTTCAGGAATAATCCAAACCTGCGTGAAGGCAGGATGTTATAAAATTACCAATTTAAGATTAATGTACTTTATGAACGGCCTCTTATCTCTTAGTTTTGCAGGCCGCGTGACTTTGGCGTCTTCTTCTTAACAACAACATGTTGCATCACGACGAACCAAAAACTAGATTTTAGTCATTTTGCCATTACCCTTAATTTTGCGCGGATTTTTCCCGCAGTTATCCATAGAATAAACGGGTTTTCGTGCGGTTCTTACGACCTATTTCCGTTTTTTCAGTCTAATCAAGCCCTCATTATTGACATATTTACTAATACTCTGCTGTCTTCCGTTGTCATCGGTCTGATTTATCTTTCAACTCTTAAACCAATTAATAAAACTTTAAAACGTTCAAAAATAAGTTTTAGAAAAATAATAATTGAAAATACGTAACTTTTTTCGCGAGGTTTTGCAGGTTTCCGTCGTTACGAACGAGTTTTAATGGCATTCAAAGTACTCTGCGATTTGCCATGGTTTTATGTTTTATTTAATCGTTTCTAAGTTTTAAGGTCCCTCCGCAAATTTCCCGGCGTTCACTCGATTTTCCGATAACTGATCAGAATGATGACCCTGCATTATTTAAATGATCGCCAAGTCAATATGAGTTTTCTTTGCCCTCCTCCCACCCCTATTATCGAAGACACTAGACTTCACATAAAATCAGCAATGCGCAGAGAGTTTTTTGATACGCACAAACCCACAACGGACGGTTCAAATGTGCAGACTCATATGCACACTTTTCGACGATGAAACTCGAAATCGCGCATATCTCGGTTGGTAACGCTGCAAACTGACTAACGTTATTTTCTAAAAATTCCTTAACTGTTCCAATCTGGCTGCAGGACATTCTGTAAAAAATATGTCAGACAATCGGAATGGTTTGTTATATAATCAAGTAATTGGTAACGGAGATTTTGAAACACCGCAAAAAGGATCCTCGCGTGTTCAAAGTTCCACCGTTGCACAGTGGATCGAGTCAATTAGAGAGGTCGGACATGAAATTTTTTACTCGAACTGCAAATTTTGGTGTTTATTTCGTCACATTTTACATTTCATGGAGTGCTTCAAGTAGAAAATTTCACGAGGAATTTAATAAAACCACTTTTTGAACCTCAAAATTTTGTGTGAACGGAGTTATAGGCGTTTAAAGTTTCCAAATTTTGTCCGACTTCTCTTACTGACTCGATCCACCGAGCGTCGTTCGAGATTACTTTCAATTGAATTCCGTCATTTCTTCGATAAAGTAGGAGTAAATTTCCAAAATTGCTTTTGCACCCACAGTCCTCCGTGTAAAATTTTCATTAGAAAACTACAAACGGTCCGCGGATTCGGAAACTAATGGGATTAGAAACGGCATTCGCCCTGATGAGGTCACCGAGAAAATTGCAGACAAGCGCCGTTTCATTAGAACCTAATGTCCGAACGTGGTCGCGGATAATTGATTTCTAGACCACCCAGTTGCCCGGTCACTCGCCGGCGTTGCTTGTCTCGCACGGGATACACTTTAATAGGGGCGTATCGCGCATGGAAGAGTTGAGTACATTCTTGTGATTTCGAGAAAAACGCATTTGAGGGGCTTGGAGGACAAGGCGCATAAGTGCAGTTTTTGAAAAAAAATTGAGATACCCATGATGTCAAGTAAAACTATAGTCTTCACACATATTCTGTGAAAAATTTGCTCTCTACTTCCAATTTTTCACCACCAAAAAGTCACTTCCATGTAATTTCGAAACTTCAAACACGAATTTCTCGAGACAGCATAAACTGCACTTGTGCGTATTGTCCTCCAAGCCCCTCATTTGCAGTTCAGAAATTACATATGATGTAGCGTTAGACATGAGTGAACTCAAAATTACAATATTGAGGTCAAAAATGATTTAGTTTAATGTGTTTACAATGTTCAACCCAAGACCAGTTTCACTCAAGATGACGAATATCTTATTTCGTGTTCCGGAAATGTCTTGTAACAACTTTATTCTTTTAATTATAGCTATTCTCACTCTGAACATTGATTTCGGAGGGGACGCACATTTTAAGCTCCGTAAATTTACGATGTCTGCTGGAAATTACCTTAATTTTCTTCATCGCTCACCATTTTTCCACAGAATCGAGATTTTTCCTCAAAAATCGGCAAATACTAATTTGCCAGAAAACGGGCACATTTTAAAAAGAAACAAAGGCCATTCTTTTAAATCTCATTTGAAAACACACGCAAAGGAACACGTATCGCACGTTTAAAAAGGTGTCCTTGCTGTATCTGATAACAAGGTTTTTCCCATGAATTGGCATTACAGGTCATTTTTCCATACATTGTGACAACACCAAAAAAAATTTACTTTTTTCATTTTCTTTTCATCTGATTTAGTGGCCTATGGTCCGTTCGGAATCCACAGCCAACATACGGTTCTTACTGCCTTTATAGACAGAAGAGAATAAAAGAATATGTAAGTGACGTGCCATCTAGCAGCAGGAAAACGGGTTTGCCACAATTTATACGTCTCTCGTTTGGTATAAATTGATGGTCTCTAAAAATAATTGTATTATTAGAATAACACCAGTATTTACCGAGTCTGTTTAATCAAACTATGGTTTAAAATTAAAAACCGAGAGGACAGCATGAGAAGGATTGAAATCACGTTAAAAACCGCTAAGTACGCGCGGTGGGTATTACCCTGTTTATAAGTAATGTGAAATGACCAACCTGTTGTTATTTCACGAGTCCCAACGGGTGATAGGCAGATCATGAGAGGGCGCATGGTCCTCCCGTGGTCGTCATGGTAACGTGGGTTCTCCTCGCCCCATCCCAGCCCCCCTTTGTCCCCCGGTCCCTGCTCTTTTGCTCTCCCTCTCGTTCAGAGCATCGTCTAAATACTTATATCATACGTCCCAGTCACCTGCAACGAAACATTTCGCGATTAGACATCCGAATCGAGCGCGGAACCCGCCACTCTCTCGTTTATATTTTTGTATAGTTTTGTAGATTTTTCATAGTTTCCCTTTTTTTACATCGGAGGTTCGGTCTGTGTCTCATACCCTCTGAAGTAAAGATTCACGATGTTCCAGGATGCTATTGAGCTAATGAATTCGTGATACCGTGCCCGGAAAGTGTGCGTGCGGGTGCCTTCCTGAATTTCTACGTAGTGCGTTCGAGGTTTTTTTGAGCCTCATCTTTCGTCGTGTCTCAGCTTGTCGCAGCTTGTCGCAGCTTTTGAGCCAAGTTTTTTGAACGGAGGAAGATTATGGGAACCCAATATTCACCTCAAATAAGGTAAACGTGCTCGGCAGCTTTTTGTTTACTTTGTTGTTTATTTTGCTAATGAACGATGTATTTGTGCTCAAAGATTAGTACATCGAGGAAGCTCTTTATTACTCATATTCCTTGCACAATGCTAGGACATTTTTTTGGTTGATTAATTAGAGCCGGAAATGTATAATACATTTAGAAGATTTTTTTAAAATTTAATTTATGTGCGATCTCCTGCATGTACGCTGTAAAACATTTCAGCAGCATGCGACGAATCAAACAGACCATTGAATACCAACATATCGTGATCTTTAAGGTGTAACGTAGATTTTTCAAGATTGTCACAAACACTGTGATACTGATCCAAAACTTAAAGTCAGGTATGAATTCTATTGTCATCACTTCTTTTTTCTAACCTTTTTTTTAAGCTTAACCTTAGAGTGTTTCTGGTATCAAATTTCTACTTCAACAACTGTGGGCGGTCGAAATATTTTGTGTGATTCCTTTGTTTGAGCTTTTAAAAATTTCCAAAAATTAATTTGCTCTCGCCCCTTCTTTTATTATGAACTCATGTCTTTGTGATTTGATGCTTGACCATCAGTGCTCTTAAGGGGTTTTGCATTTTTAAAAGAAAAGGAATCTAAGATATTTGACTGACTTTGAATTAAAGTAACATTTGAATCCGACAGTTACCAATGCTTCAACATACCATGCCTCTTATTTATTTTAAAGCATCAGGAAAGTCACCGCTGATACTTTTTTAAAAATAAAAAACTCTGAGGAAATGTTTCCGGAAACCAGCATCAATGACAAGAGTGACACAGTTTTGAAATTTTTGAATGCTTCATTCAAATAAAATAATTAAATTTAATTAGGGTAAAAGAAGAAGTAAAGAAATAATTATGAAAACTAAAAAATTTTAACTGGAAACCAAGTAATTATATGGAGGAAAGATCAGACGATACTAGACGTCCTTTCCGGACCACTGAATTGTGTAAAACAGGTAATTCTGTATTTCAAGCTCCCTCTGATGTTTGATGAGGTCTTTTTTACCAACATCCCTAACCGACAAGAGATGAGTGAGTTCTGTGTGAACGATGTTTAGGTTCTATATAATAATGCATTACGAAGGGCAGGTATTTTGCCATCCTCCCTCGATACTTTGGTTCCAAGTTGTGATTATTAGGAATATTGATACCGATAACGTAAGCCTTACAGTTCTACTCATCAACTAACACTATATCCGGTGCATTAGCCACGATGGTTCTATCCGTCAAAAGTGGATTATCCCGAATATAATCGAAAACGCTGATCCTCCAAGACTTCACGAGAATCGTACATATTTGTAATAAGGCTTAAAATGTGTACATAGCTCGCGATCCGTTGCTGCTGCCAGGTGGATAAGTCAGCCATGTCATGACTATGCTGCTAAGCCTATTCCTTCCCCATAAGAGGCGAGCAACCAGAAAATATGTGATCAATTGTCTCTGAAACAGCGTGACACTTCTTACACTCAGGAATTCTGATTTTTCCTTGGAGTAAGTACACGGAGAAAATAACTTCAAGAATGGGACCCCGAACTCACCCGAAGTTCAGAGCTCCGGGTGGAACTCTGAGGTTGTCGTATCGTGCATCCGAAAACTTGAGGTTCAGTTGCCGAAGTTTAGATCACACATCTGAGGTACTTAAGTGCTTCGGTTGATTTAATAGTAATTTCAACCGAAGTACCGAAACACTTCAGATAAGTGACTCGAACTTTGGCAGCTGGATCTTAAGTTTTCAGTTGTACAATCCGAAAACTTGAGAGATCCATATGACCTGAACTTTAGGTTCCACGCACCAAGTTTTTTTTTCTCCGTGCAACTTTTGCAGTTATCAATACTAATTCCTTAGTCCTCTATCACTATAACTTATGGAATGACTAAATCCCACCATTTCCGAAAAGAGTTGCCTTTCTGCTAACAACAAGTAAGCATTCCTCCCATTCACATATCCCAACCCGGCATAGCTGAGTATAGGCAATGGAGATGCGTTGCTTGTGTGAGGAATTTGCGATTGGACTAATGATTCTCATGTGAAAGTTCGCGAGAAACACGATGGTGGCACTGATTTTCTCTGAAATCAACTCCCAAGCTCAAAAACAGCTCTCAAGTTGAGGCAAAAATAGAGGAGAGATCCCACGCTACCCTGAGAGTCCACCTCTAAATCAAGACAAACTCTTTATGCAAAGGTAGGGAGCAAAAACATTAGCAGGGTTGCCGTGTTTTCAGTTTTAGAGTCCCTAAATAAAGTGGCTGCCCTGTCAATGTATTTGCTCCCTATCTTTGCAGGGTTCTGATGCAGGGTGCAGTTGGTCTTGATGTATTTGTATTCGAGGGTTATTTTTCATCCGGATGATGACGTGTAAGGTGTAAAGCAGTGGCGTGGCGTGAATTGCGATAAATCGATTGTTACGCCATTTAAACCTATAGAAAAGGATCGATAAATAGGGTGTTCGCAGCGAACACCTTAATAATCGATTCTCTACCATAGGTTTAAATGGCACAACAATCGATATATCGCAATTCACGCCACGCCACTGGTGTAAAGGCATGTTGGGTTTTTTGATTCTGTTGACTGGAGTGTGCACTGGACTGTCGATTCTACGAGACAAGTAACTCCGAAGATTACTGACTAAGCTGTGAAAAAGATCCTTCAAAACTAGGATACCTTAGCCCTCTTGCTGGAGAGGGATGTTAATTATTTCCTTGGCAGTTTTTGGTAGATGTCTGCTCCATGAAGTCATCAGCATCCTATTATTCAGTTCCACTTCTATTAAGCACTTTAAGCTACGTGTTGGACCGAGGCACGATGCCAAAATAGTACGCTAAAATATAAATGGCAAATGTTTAAATAACCTAGGTCATATTTCTTGAGGTAACGCCAGCATTGAGTACCGCATTTGGCCAGTTGGTAGGTGTGGTGCTGGTGGCTTCTAGCTACACTCTAACTCTAACTCTTTTCGGTAAATATATGTTCTGCCTTATGCCTCGGTATTTAATATCATCGCTGGCCTCTTCAATGAATTTCACGAGCTGCCTTACTTAGTCCTTTTTCGATACAGATAGATCTTCCAAATCATAGAGTACATAGAGTCGTAATGTAAATGGGAGAGCTGGCGCCATGTTCTGCTCGACGAGTTCCGAGCCCGGTGTGCGCAGAGTTTGGGTCACTTTTTCGATATATGTTCGATCCAAAATGGCGGTGTGAAAAAAGGGACCCGGCGTCACGCAGGAGTCTCGGAATTCGGGACCTGGAAAATGCTTAAAAGTGGCGCCAGCTCACCCACTTACATTACGTACTCTATGTACTCTATGTTCCAAATAGGCGAAATGATTAAATTATGACGGGATTCACCTCGTTTCCAAAGAAACAAATATTATTCTCTTTACTGCAGATAGTTTTGTTGCAGATTGAGGTTCAAATAAAACCAAAAAGCACTGAGACTGGCCTGATACTGTTCTGAACTGATTGATTTTAATACTATCAGAACATTACAGAACTATTTTAAGTCATAGACAATTTTGAAATATGTAAAAAAAAAGTCCAGTTTACCTTATTTTCTAATTAAAATCCAATGATAGTAAGTTTGAAAGGGGACCTCATGGTGCCCTCAGTCAATAATAAACTTGGCAATGAAAGAATAAAACTAAAATATCAGTCATTGCCTGTTGCATTCTCTAGGATTTATCAAAAGCCCCAAACCTGTCCTGTCGAATTCTCTTTGCTCGCTTATTTTCTCTTTTCTTAAATTGTCCCTGCCTTTCACCATTGCACTCTATCCAAGGTATGCTCATTTTCACGAAAAATAAAGTCAAAGCAACGGCTAATAAAACGTTTTTACTGTGAAGACATGAAACATTCTTTGTCAAGAGAAAAAAGAACTCAAAGATGGATACGAGCCGAGAGTTGAATAAGAGAAAAAGTTGCTCGTTTTTTTGGGCCGTGGAATCAATGGGCACTCGACACTCCGCGGGCCGTTAATCTTTTTTTAAATCATTATTTGAGAGCTTTGTTCACTTCCCACAGAGAAATAAATCACTCTCTAACCACGGAACGCCGTTGCCCCACTTCAGGGCACGACAAGCCAGGAAACATTTCACGACGAAGTTTTTCCACGAGTATTATGAGAACACAAAGAAAATGCTGGCATAATTTTTGAGTTATTTCTTATGGCGAGTGGATCAGGTTTAACAGGAAAGAACAACCAAGTTCCTTTGCGAACAATTGGGATATGCGTACCAATGTTTAGAAAAGCTCAGTAAGCAGTACTTTGCACTTGGTTCCCTTGGAAAATCGGGAAAATAGGACATCGGGGAGGGAACCTACTATGCGTTTGGTTCCTCTCTTTAAGTTGCTGGTAATTTTTGCATTCGGAGAAAGGAACTAAATTACTGACCATTGAAACACAAATTATGGGAATCTCCTGCAGTTTATTCAAACTACCATTTTGAGATGAAAAAATTTACAGCAGCCTAAGTTAGCTGCTCTTAGCGAGTTATTTCGGAACATGTATGAAATATTAAAAATATGTTTAATTTTTTCACAGATTGCACCCTTAACCTGTTAAATTATTTTTGACAGACTCAATTTTCAACAGGAAGAAGTATGCTGAAGATTAATAATTCCATTGCAATCTGAAATATTAGCACAAGGGTGACATTCATAAAATACGTAACGCGCCAGGGGGAGGAAGGTCAAAAAGAGTGTCACGCCATTTTGTTTTAACGTGATTTAATGATAAAACCCAACAAGTGCGGAAGGGAGGGATCGAAAAATCTGGAATTTAGCGCTCAGTTTTTTATGAGTGACCCCTAAAATACTACCAACATCAATGCAAGATAATGCATATAATAAAATATCATGTAAAATCTGATCCAATCTTTTTAAAATGAAGGAAATTAATTCATTGGAAAAATGACACGCGGCATATGATCAATAATATTTTCTTTGCCTCATTGAATACACTCAACGAGGGTAACACA